GCCCAAAAACAAAAGTATTTGTACTCTCCCTTCCCCCTGGATGGAATAATAGTAATGATAATAATTTACATTTATATAGCGCAGACTTCTATATGAATATATTCAGTCGCGCTTCACAATATCGTAAGATACAATTATGGCAAAAGTAACTAGGATATGAGAACCTATTGGATCCTACGAGTCTATGCACTCAAAGAGATGCTAGTCCATCACATGGTTACTCCCCATTTTAAATTCGCCTCCACCCATTTACACGCCTGAAGGATGTCTAGGGCGCCATGACCTATAGGCTGCCACGCTTTTCCAACCGGAACAATTGCAGAAGATTAAACAAATGCAACATTTCCAATTAGTTCCGTCAATACTTCAATTGTAAAAACAAGTGAACAACTCGATTCAATTGTGCAACTCGATTTAATATATTTTGCTCTGTTGATTATAAAGAGTCTGCTATTCCTGTTTCATTCATTATTGTGTGCGGTTTGCTATTGAAATATGCTGTTTTCATCTGAACTTCACCGTCAGAATTATCCCTCAAAGTAATCTTTTCAAAAGTTATCTTTAATGCCTCTACGAATTTGAGACCTTTTATTTCACTCAATATATTCTCATTGTATTTATCAATTGCCAATCTCGTGCTCTACATTTGACTTAATGGATCTTTATCATTCTTTATGTTTATTTCATATGATTTTGTATATCCTTTTAAAGCTTTATATGTTTCACCAATTCTTGTTCTTGGTAGAGGGACAGGCTTCTTTGTTCTTGGTTTAGGCACTGGTTTATAATCATCTCGAACCTCTAGAGGTGGTTCAATAATGTTTTCCTCATAAGCTTGATCCATTTGTTTAACATTAATGAACGATGGAGCGAATTTGATTTTCCTGTTTAATGTTTTGGGTTGATATTTTCACAGTAGAGGTGTTTTGTCAGATTCTGTGATTCCGTTTTATTCATGTTATATTATATGTAGATATATCTTTTCCATGTTTTCCATATGTGATTTTTCTTTAAGTGTTTTTCTTACCTAAATTTGAAAAAGAAGTTTGGGCAAGTTTGAACAAGTTCTCTTAAAGTTTGTAAAAACATGCAGAGTAGAGGATCAAGTCAACTGGCCATTTTTTGTTTTAATTTTCAATAGTCGGCGCGAGCATGTGAGCCATTCTCGGTACCGCCTGGCCTTGAAACTGTGTTAAAAAAAAACCCCTACGGGGGAAATAACTTTCCCGACGTTGATGCACTTTGTTCGAGCAAAGCCTTCGACATGTTCGAGCTGGTAAAACTGCTTGTTTTGTTACACTGGTAAAAAGCGGCTATCTGAAGTATTAATGATCAAAGACCCAACAAGATAATTAAGCTCGTACAACATTTGGAACTGTGTAGAAAGAAAAAACCTTTGGAGAAAGATAAATAGTTGTACGATTAACAAATCATCGCAAAATGGTATAGTCTGAACAGTTTGATCCAAGTTTGATTTTTTAGTACTTACCAGGAACTCCAGGGTTATGTGCAGAGTTGATGCAATTCACTAATTCTGCCAGACATTTCAAGTATGCCCATTGCTCAGTTAAAATTTGCGGCTTCACTACTGGAGCCTACATACTTCCTTTAGGAAAGACGATACTCTAAGGAGTAAAAAGCATCCTATTTGTATCACAAATAGGATGCTTTTGGCTGTAATGCTTTTCTAACGCCCTTCTTGTTGTCATACGTTTCGCACAAAATTGGCAATTCGTAATTCGTTGAATAAAGACTGAATTGATCATGTTAAGTTCATTATAATTTCCAGTTTTGTGTGCAAATGAGAACCACAGGAGAAAAATTACCATATAGTCATCACTTAAGATAAATAAACGAAGCTCCTTCCTGTTTCCTTAGTTTTTAAATACTCAAGTTAAAAAGTATGGACATCACTGTTTAAACCTCCAGCTAAGTCCTCTCAAAACTAAACCAGCTTACCTAATTTTTCTGGGCATATAAATCTATTGATCTCTTTGGTATACCAGTTCCGTTACTCAAAATTCTGAAGACTTCCATTGCTCCAGCTGAATCATTCCTCTTTCCTCTGCGGCATTTTTTCCGAAAAGTAATTCCAGTTTTTTAAGAAAGGCTCTATATTCGTAATTCCCTTTCTTTTGTTTAGAATTAGTTCAATAACGTGACTCGACCTTTTTCAGTCTTCCCTTGTCAGGCAAATATCTCCTGTACACTCGTATTTTACAGATCAGCCACTAAATAGAAATTTGAGTGCAAACTCAGTTCAAACTACCCGTTAAGCAATTGTTTTATTTGTTACACTGGTACCAACCTCTGGAATTCATTGCCACCTATATTAAACAAACTACCCTATTTTCTAGATTTCGTACGAGAATTGAAAACTTTTTGATTGAGGGTTACAATGTAACTGAAGGAAAAATTTTTTAATCTAAATTGTTGTCCAACAATTGTACTCCTCTTACTCCTTTTAGTTAATTCGATTGCCTTAATAAACTATTTAGGTCTTCAAAACTCTGCAGAATCAACTTTGTTTTGATGATAATTTATATTTTTTCCTTGGCACCTTACACTACATATGGAGGAGGTTTCGTTGTTGGGAATACAATGGATGAACGCTTGGCAGGATAAGGTTTCTTGTACGATGTATGCCGTAGTTTCGGTTCGTTTGGCGGCTAGGGATCATTGGGTCTCGGTTCTTTTGGTGGCTGGAGATCATCGGGTCTCGGTTCGACGTCTTCCAGCTGGAGATCAGTGTGTCCCCGAAGTCGCCTTAGAAGTAACCCTGGATAGCCATTACCACCAGCAATGCTACAGTCCCTCCGATAATCGCTCTGACAACCATGGGCACTATCTTCGAGGATTTAGTAAGAGGACCTGACACAAAAGATGTTTTCAGTTGGAGTGACACAGATATGTGGGAAATGATAATAATGATAATAATGTTGATAATTACAATAATAGTTGTAACTGGACCATGGTGCTATGGAAGTTAAAAAAAAAAAAACATTACATTACATCACAATATACCACCAAACAGGCTCCACATGATGAGGTTATGGTCTACGTACTCCCATATAGTGGCAGAGGATTCTCGTCATTTTGGATGTAATAAAAAGCAATTATCGACCAATTTGCAATCAACTGTATACTCCTAGACTTTACTCCTTGATGAATAATCACTGTATAATCGAACACAAAAAATATCGTAGAGCATCGATTTCTCATTGATATCAGTGATATTACATTAGAACATAGCTAGCAGAGCCGCGCAGTCAAATTCAGTATACGTAAGCGTGCTCAAAATCCCGATAGTGCACGCTGATAACGTGAGCAAATCGCTTCGTCAGAATTTTTAATTTTTTTGTGCGAATGGCCATTGTTAGCGCGGGGAAACATAATATATTTTGCGACAATAATGGACACAAACAGACTCGGGCTACTAGTCCCAAAACGAAGACAGTTTTTCGACCTTTTCCCTTGGGCTAGAGTTCTTATATGAGGCACGAAAAGAGAAAAACAACGGAATAGGAGACTCGGCATCAGCGCCGTCACGATTCGCTTCAATTGATATTGATGTCCGTTTTTCGTGTCGGATTTGATACACAATTTCACCGGCTATGTTTTGAAACAATTGTTTCATGCTTTCAGCCGTGCACTATCGAGTTATGGAGCACGTGGGAAGTTTGGAGAGCACTCAAGAAGCTAGAGTTGCCCTCGGCTATTGCCTCGGGCAACCGTAATTAAGGAATGACCTAAAACCACCTACAACTGTCTAAAACCAACTACAACCACCCACAACCACCACCTACAACCATCTAGAACCACCTAAAACCACCTACAACCACCTTCAGAATACTATTGTGTGACAGTTTGTGACAATTTAAATCCACACCGGAAATGTGTGGAAACGGTTAACCGTTAACCGTTTATTTCTCGTAGACAACTCTCAGTCTGATGATCGCCTAGAGCGTGAAACTCGAGTAACTAGGTAATAATTTCCTTCTTTCACATTTGTATATATACCGTATATATATGTATATCACACACACACACACACACAGAGAGAGAGAGAGAGAGAGAGAGAGAGAGAGAGAGAGAGAGAGAGAGAGAAAGTCAATGTGGCTCCCACGAAGTCTGTAACAACCTTTCCCAATCCCAATTTTAAAACGTATTTCCGCTTGATTAACACTTTAACAGATTAAGCTACCTGGTGAGGCTGTAGAAGCTGTTGGCAAGGATTGTTCAAGAGTGGTAACTGAACTTGTTGGCCAGGTTATAGTGAAGATATCTTCTCCTTCTCCGGGTTCAAATGGATCTGACGAAGTGCCATACAACATCAAGGACCAGCCGTAAAGTGTACCTATAGTGCAAGAGAGGACACATAACGTGGGTGCGACAAAACGCAAAAAATCCGAGAACTGTTGCATCTGAAATCAATTGAAAAACTTGATCATTATCAAATCGACCGAAGGTAATAAATGTTGAACTCTAGGGCCGTAATCAACTTGAGAGAGAGTGTTTCGATCACTGGCTCTCTTTTTACTCAATCGGCGAAATAATGGCTGAGACTTCTTGCCTTCCAAAGAAGATTCACTTTCCACGCTGCAACTTCGCTATTTCATTAAGTTAAAAAGAACTTCAAAAGATGGAGAGAAACAATGGTAAAACTAACTACCAACAGCAAAAAAATTCAATTTAATTTAATGATTATCATTAAATTAACCTGTACTAGGAGTAATTGGATCGAAGTCATCAACACTGAGTTCCCATCGTCCTGTAGCATTCTCTTTCCAGTGGAACAGAGTCGTTATAACCCAGTCTGTCAAGTTACTGACTCTTCTTAAGTTGTCAACTTTGCGTCTTCCTGTCAGTGGAGAAACTGTACCACTTGGTGCCCTCAATTTCAGGGACAGATCACCACGTTGAGAGAAATCAAGATTTACTTTGACCTGCACGTGCTCCAGGAATTCGATTGGACAATCTTCCGGCACTTTCATGGAAAAAGTACTTGGTATACGCCTGAAATAAAAAATTGTACAGCATTTACCAATGCTCCCTTCGAATTAACTCATAGTGGAGAGTAATACTAATGAAGAGTGAATGGGCACCAAAATTATTCTTCAGAGAATATGGTATACTCGGGGAGCGAAAATCTCTTGAAGAGTGTTCTACACGAGTTCTTTGTCTGTAATTGATAATTCGAGTGAAAAAAAGGACTGAGGTTCTGCATCAAGGACTTTATTCAACTTCCAAAGAATTCAACCGGTGCACCGCTTTACCAACGTTGCTTGTCTACTTACATCGATAGGGTGGGCAGCAAAAAAGTTCAGCAAACTTTTTGTTCTTCTGCCAGTTTATATGCCACGTTCTTTCAGAAATCGAAAAATACAGGCCGGCTTCAATCACATGCTAAAAAGTGTAACATTGAGGCTCACCTGTTTTTCTCACTGCCTTCGATTTTGCATTTCAGTTGCCGAGGGACTTTGTTCCAGCTCCTGGATAGGTTCACCATTTTGCCAGCGTCCATAAGTCCAAAACCATAAAACTTGCTGACGTACAGACCTGCTTTGTTTCGGCGCCAATCGCCGTTTTTGAGCGGAACCCCACCCGGTGCTGCTCTTGCGCTCTGAGCTATAATGTGCTGAACGTCGCGCCAGGTTAGCTGAGGGCTGAAAGTGATAATAACAATAATAATGATATCATAATCATAACAGTAATTATAATCCATCAAAAATTAATATTTGCGCGCGATTGGTCTAAACGCATCACGTGACAGAATATTCCCCTTGCTGAAGCTAAAGGATATCCGAGAATATCAACCAAGTGATACTGACCAATTTTGAAACCTTATGTCTGATACGATAAGTCCTCGGTTAAAACTTAATTCAAGATGAGAGCGTTTCGCGGTTGTTACAGAAGAACGGGAAGCCCACATGTTTTCCTCGAGCTTCGCTCTCAAACTACATGAAAACTTATTACACAATTAATTGATTTGTTGAGGATCAGTTAAAGTAAATGCAATTAATATTAAGCATTGAAAACAGCAATGAAGTTTAAAGACGACAGTCGATCTTTATGGGGTAGAGTCTTGAAAAAGTGTTAAAACATTACATAAAATAATGATAACTATGAACTTCATTAGAGTGATTACGAAAAAGAAACTTCAACCAAAACGTCAATTGAATCCCTTTGGAAGGCTCATCCCAAAACATTGAAATAGTTGTGATGAAATAAGTCTTTCTGTTATCATTGGCAATTTTTCTTCACAAAGATTGGTCGCATGCATCCTGGCGCCTTTCTTAGATACGCCTTGAAATGCAATGAAATGCGGCAACGGAAGAACAGGAGTGAGTTTCTCCTGTTCAACCACCTGAATGTACCCTCCCATCAAGCTGTATCAATGAAGTTTAAGTCTTACTTTGCTTGCAACGTGATTGCAATCAGCCCTGATGCCATGGCGGTAGCCGCTGACGTGGCCCCAAAATTATCGACACATCCATCTTTATTATCAACTGTTATCTGAACGATATATTAAAACAACGTATAATTAACTAAAGTATCTTAGACATCCAGCAACTTCTAGTTGCATTAATTCATCACGTAAGACTGATACCTAAATCTTATTAGACGTTTTGTTGTATAGTATCGCAGAGTATTTTTACGAGTTGTGCCGTATTTTGACGAGCCCGTAGAGCGAGTCAAAATACAAATAACGAGTAAAAATACTCAACGATACTACACAACAAAACGTCTAATAAGTTATTTATTATCCAACACGCCAAACTGTTATTTCAGTGCGGGCGAATTTCGCGGATATTTATTTACGGGATGTATATTTGCCAGCCATTCCGACTCTTTGTCGTCGGAGATATGATTCAAATTGTCCGCCACTTTATTTCTTTTCGCAACTACAATCTAATTCTTCGCCTGCGCGATGCGGGAAAACCACTTTAACCGGTACTACAATAGACGAGTACAAATACCGCGTGATATTTGTACTCGTCTATGGCGTTATTTGTACTCTACGAAGTGTAGTTGGATAATAAATATATCTTATCATCCAACACGCCAAACTGTTATTTCAGTGCGGGCGAGTTTCGCAGATATTTATTTACGTGGAGTGCGTGACAGAAGTATGCGAAACGGAACGGAATTGGCGCGTTGTTGTGTCGCTGTTTCTATTTTCTTCATTAAATGAAGAAATTTTCTGGTCGTCAAGCTGTTTTTCTTCATTCGATTCGTCTAATGAACTTGGACCTATATTTGCCAGCCATTCCGACTCTTTGTCGTCGGAGATATGATTCAAATTGTCCGCCACTTTATTTCTTTTCGCAACTACAATCTAATTCTTCGCCTGCGCGATGCGGGAAAACCACTTTAACCGGTACTACAATAGACGAGTACAAATACCGCGTGATATTTGTACTCGTCTATGGCGTTATTTGTACTCGTCTAGGTGTAGTTGGATAATAATTAGCGATATCTCATACCCCTTAGTGATCTTCACATGCAATTGTGCTAGCTTTTGTCAAGCTTGTACGTTCATAAACCTCAAAAAAAAAAAAAAAAAACGTCGAAAAAACTTATGTAGGTATCGACCAGTTCACTCAAAGGAGCAGTACTTAACTTCAATACTTTCGTTTTCCCATTCAAAACAGACGGGTACGGCCGTACTTGTCAAGAAAATTTTAGATATCATTATTTTGGACAATCATGTATTTACTAATTTACAAGGCGGCAGAGAACGAATAGTGAATTAAAAATGTACAGTGTATTCGTAAATCACTGCTTTACAAATCATACATGATTTCATAAAGGACTTTTTGTCGCTCTTTTACTCCACTTACAACTTTTCCGTATCCTGTAAACGTATCCCTGCTGTACGTAGTAGCCATGATTCCAGGACATTCCTCAGCATAGACGGGAAGAGATCCATCTTTATTTACTCCGTTGATGGCGATGGTGTAAATACTATTTACATAACCACTGTAGGCACAGCTGTCTCCTGACATTCCGCCATTTCCAGCTGCAAACGTATAGATAGCACCCAGGCCATTCCGACCCTTGATTAAAACATAACGAAGATGGCAATGTCATCGAAGAAACGCAGAAAATTATTGAAGATGGCAACGAAGTGACGGAAGACAGAGAGAAATTGCTGCAGGATTTCTTTGCAAACGACAAAGGTGTCTTGGACTTTCTCGCCAGCGACAAGGATGGCACGGTTGAGAACGGAGCTGAAGAAACCGAAATCTGAACAGACGATTTAATGTGTAATGGAGCAAGACATGTGAAGTGTATTTACGTCAAACGCTAAGAGTTCAAGGAGAATAATAACACAAGGCATTGCTTACTGACTTACGTTCATATACTACATGTACATGCTGTGCCTTCGTTTACGGTTTACATAAAATAATCCCATGAAGGTGAACCAGAAAATGCAACCTGACTTTACTAGAGATCAACCTTTACTTACACAATTCTTTAGACCGTACAAAATACAACTCCAGGAATTTATTTTCACTCTAGTTCAGTTGAAAGTACAGGAGGCTTAACGTGCGCCATTATGCCTCAGTATTTACGAGAAAAACACACTCAACCAGGAAGGTAACTATCGAGTAGATGATCACGGAAGACCAAACGAGCTAACAATTGAGAGGTTGATAAATCATGCCGGACGCTCAGTTTTTTCAACCCTTTCACTTCCAGAAGTGATTAAAATGTAACTTCTCAATCTCCCTATAATATCCATACATCATTCAGCAAACAGATAATGAGAATACTCAAATTCTCGTAGCTATTTACAAGAAAATGCGTCGCAACAAGGGGGAGAAGGAACAATCAGAAATTGTGATATTAAGGGTTAATACAATACCTCTTTTATGCCTCGTTCCAAGGCTTTCTCGGTGAGCGGTCCTGGACCCTTTACATGCCAGCCTATGTCCCCAGGCCCCCAGCTGTTAGAGTATATGTCGATACTGTCTAGTTTATGAACCAAGCCCGCGGATTGTGCTGCATCAGTTGACATAGTGCCATCATCATGGATGCGGATACCTGAGACAAGACAATGCAATATTTAAAAGAATATGTGTTCTTAATAAGAAAGGCTTTACCGTCAAACCTGTATTCAGCAGCACCGTATTTAGCGGTCACCCTGTAATAAGCGCTTAGTTGTCAGACTCCGTTAAAAAGGAACATTAGGTTACCTGCTACAGTGGCATCATAGGCCAATCCTACTCCACATGCACCGTTATGACGTTTTCCAACTATGATCCCTGCAACTGCATTGCCATGACTAAAAATAAACCAAATTATTAAAAACTGGATCATTGGATAATGCAATTCAAGACTTTTTATTGGCTCAGCCATTATGGTATATGAGCCAATATACCATAATTATCTTATATGGTGACGCTGCGGCAATTCCTATTCTCTACAAACACACAGTTAACTCCTCGTGATGCTACCGTGTACATGTATTTGCTTTATATTTTCATGCAGACAACACACAAGATTTGGTTGGTGATTTCCATTGCAGCCTTGGATTTTAACAGATAACCATGATAACTTAACCACTCATCAACCATTCTCACAAAACAAGGAAGACTGCATTCAAGAATTGTTGTATCTTACGCGTTTACAGTCAAGTCACGTGAGAGTCATCTCGCCTGAAGTCATGACTCCCAGAACCTGAGCCATGTTGCCTGAAATTTTAGTCGTGTCTCCCGAAAAAAAAAAGCAAGTTGCCCGAAGAAACAATGACTTAAAAAATCAGACTTACATACTGTAACTAGTCAGTCAAATTGAGGTCTTAATCACTAAGGCACTCGTTTGTTACCGATAACACCATGAAAATTATAGACATTGTTCATTTCTAACAGCAAAGGAAAGCGTTGCTCGTTTCTAACTACAAAATGAAGCATTGTTCATTTGGTATGTATTCGTTTCGTACTCGCCGAAGTTTTGTAAGCTTGACAAACTTTATCTTGATTTCTAACAATACCATGAAGACTATGATCTACTCATGAATAAAGGGTGATAGTTTCTAAAGAAACTGTTTGGGGCTGCGTCGGTGGGAATAACGAAATAATTTGGATATATAAACTAAGTTGAAATGGTAAATTGGCCACCGTAACGATTACAAAAGTTGACATTTCGAGCTATAGCCCTTCGTCGGAGCTCCGACGAAAGGGCTAACGCTCGAAACGTCAGCTTTTGTAATCGTTGCGGTGGCCAATTTACCATTTCAACTTTGTTGATATATCCAAATTATTATGACCTACTCACCCTGAGACCGCAGTGCCATATGGCATGTGTTTGCCTTCCACATAATCATAACTCAATCCCCAGTTCTGATGAGACATGATAGTCAAAATAAATGAAGATAAATAGACAGATAAAAAGTAAACACTGATTTAAACGAAGGCCAAGAGTCCTTGTAACCTTAGGGCACTATGAACTTCTGCATTTTCAATTAAAGAAGATGACACTGTTCAACAAAATTCATTATCCTTTACGGCCTTGTACGATTTGTGTTGAATAGTTACCAAACTACATGTATTCTGCGTTTTGGCTACATGTCCCGAGTTAAAGAGTTTTTCCATTCATCAGTGTTTGATCTATCTCTTTCATATCCTCAAGAAAACTGTGTAACTGCCTAGCAAACCCTCCACTACAGCAGCTATCTACAATGATGACATGGTCCTAATCGTTACACAGTGAGGACTTGCACATTAAGGGACATGACTGTTAAAGGGTTTGCTTTTTCTTGCTAACTGCAATCCAGGACCTTAAAGGGCCATATAGATCACAAAACCCAAACCTATCTAGAGAAAGCTCTCCTCCCTTTACTTTTGTTCCATTGCATTTCTTCAAACATTCACCTCTCTGAAGGAAAAAGTCCAACATAATATAGTCCTTCTCAAACTTGTCAAGGCAAGGAGTTGATGAGTAATGAAGTTTCCTTGCTTTTTATTTGTTGAGTGCAATGGCCTAATACCAAAGTGTGAGCTTGCGCATGCTAAGAAATCTACCTGGATAAAATGCACTGCGAACAAGGCCTTCGAATATAAAATCTGGATCCTTTGTGAAACCATATCCAGGGGATGAGTGTGCAACCACGAAACAGACTTCTAACTTGTAGCTTATTTGTCTTTTTTCTCCCACAATATATACATCGCTCTACCTCTATGTATTAAATATATATGTTGAGTAGAAAAATATGACGACTATGTTTTTATACCTACAAGGCTGTTTCAAAAGCTGATTTTTGCCAGGCATTTACAGTCTGTAAACTTACAGCTCTACATGATTATCACAGGTTTATATTCTAGCACAGAAGAGGCAACTGACATTCAAACAGAAAAGAGGGAATGAAAATGGGACAGAAATAATTACATAGTTGTCTTTCAGTTCAGGATGACTGCCATCGACTCCATCGTCAACTACTGCAATTCGAATTCCTTTCCCTGTGTAGCCTGCTTCCCAGGCAGAAATGATATTATATGTTGGCTCTGCAGATCCCTCACCTCTTTCCTAGAATTGAAGAAGTGAAAAGAGATTTGATAACAAATGTATGGTTTTTTATTTTACCTCTGCGAAAAAGACGCGAAGTACTTTATTTCAATGGGTCACTATTCTGACTTAAACGTAACAACATAATAATAAATTAATATTTTCCAAGAGATCAAAGGACAATCTGCTAGCACACACAATTAAGAAGCGGGATTTCATTGTGCATTGCGTTGTAGCATACGAAGTTGCCGAAGTTGCTTAATTTTCCAGTGCTTTATGGGGGGGACAACCACCATCTAGGCATATTTTGAACTTTTCAATTTTTCGGGAAAAAAAGGCGCGATAGAACTCTTTGATATAGTTCTTAAAATAGGTTCATTAAGAGGGTCCTTTAGAAAAAATAAAATGAATTACGAAATTTTGCAACTGTCTGCGGATTCTCGATATTTATTGTTTCCTCAAAACTGCAGATGGAGATCCTTGAAAAGTTCTTCAAGCATCTCAATTGTTCATTCTTGACACTCGAGCCTTGATTCTCAATCGGTATCGTACCTTATTGTGAACACAGAAAAGTGGAATAGATCTGCAGTTTTGTTATGAAAATTCTTAAAAGATAAGACAATTAACAAATGCCTTCAACTGGTCAAAGTTAATGACTTGAAGTGAGGCAAATGAACTTTTCTCATCAAAAGCTTTATGGAAGGCAAGCTCATATCAATCTGATGTGAACAATTCATTTAATTTTGAACTCACAGCACAGATTTGGAAATCCCAAATACTTCAAAATCCAATATTGCAGGTCATAGTAAACTTTCAATGAACATGTTTTTTTTATGGCAAACCTTAGAATCCATCACAAATAGTTCTACTGCACATGAGCAAATTACAACATGTATGCAAGACACTTTTAGATGATTACAAAGTACTATGACTTGCTGTTTTCTTGTAAATAAAGGTGATTTCCTCATTATGGGTTCGAACCTAGTTAAATGTGTACGTGAGGGTTAAAATTCAACATAACCCTTACTGCCTACATGTATAATAATCTTTCAGTAGCTCTCAGTCTATTTGGACTCAGGAGTGGAGAAAACTTGGTCTGTAACTTACAGTATGGACCTCAAACTCAGTTAATAAGAGGTGCGTGTACATGTATTTAATGGTGGTGATTACTAATACATTGCAGTAATGGTGCTTGAAATTATGTTGGTGATTGTACTCTCTTGTGGTAGTTAGTGATGGAAAATCATTTTGTCTGAAGTCAAACACGTTCACACACCAATTAATGTTAGGAAAACACTACTTACAATGTACCATTCCTCATGAAATCTTGGGTCTCCTGTTGATAACAGTTGGTACTTTTTCTTTTTCTGGTGCATAAACCACTCAACCTAGGCAGAACCATGATGATATTATTTATAATTAAAGATGATTTTTTGGAGTTGCGATCATTTTATTTTTTATCATGAAATTGATACCTCCTGCCACTTCTGTGGAGAATTATAATTTAGCAGTGTAATCACATTGGTTCCCTCACACCTCAAGTTCCCCACCTTTCCTAGAATTGAACTATATTGGTTTCTAAAAATTGACACTGTTCCAGAGTGCCCATTAACAAGGAAACTCCCCCTCCATGAATATATGCAACGGTTATTATTGCATAAGGACCAAAGTTAGATGTGTTAGGAACATGAAACTAAAACCACTATTCTTACCTCTGGCTCTAAATTTAATATATAATCAATTTCTGACCATATCTGCGTCTTTCCTGACCTTCTCTCCAATCCAACTTTTTTCAAGGTATGATAGTCCTCGAAGAGCTGAAACATGTACGAGAAAGCATTTTTGTTAGTTACAGCAATTCTGTGCTCCTTGTGACAGAGATATTTCCTTAGAATTATAGAGGCCATTTAAAACGGCTTAATTCTGCTTTGTAATACAAAACAAAACGAAACCAGGCGAGATGCAATGAAACAAAAGGAGTAAGCAATAAAAACTTTCAGGAGGATTTTAGTAATAGTAATAATAATAATAATAATAATAATAATAATGATAAAACTTATATAGTGCTAATATCGTTATTGCTATTTTCATGGCAGTGACTGTCAATTGATAATGACGATTTGTAATCATTTTGCAAAATAATAATCTCAAGGTACAATTGGGGTGTATTTCTATTTTACAAAATTGACTTTTTCCACCCTTCAGTGACAATGTCTCTGTTTACATTGTCACAAAAATGTAATTAACAATTCTGGTCATCTCCTATTTCTTTAGCTATAATGAAATATATTTTGCATAAATTGTAATTTTAGGAGAGTTACTATTTTGCAAATTGGACTATGTTCCCCTTTTAGTAATGATGTCACTGTTTATTTGTCACAAAATATATTTAACCACTAAGGTTTCTACTTTTTCTAATATCTTGAAAACTTTATACAGCACATTATTATTTAATCAAAACTGAGTACTTGAAGTAGTAGTTTTAGAAGAATCCATTTTTGCAAGATACACCTCAATACAATTAGAGAGGAGGCCAAGATCTGCTGTAATATCCTAGCTCATAATATTTAAACCTTTTTTTACCTAAAAAGAATGATCAGGGGTGAAAATAGCCCATTTTGCAAAATAATAACTGTCCTTTAGTTACTATTTTGCGAAAAACATACTTCATACAGAGAAGGATGTTTCTTGTATTGTCACGAGCGTGGGACAGAGAAATTGGACAAAATGGAGCAAAGCAGGAAACGTGTCCTAAATGAACTTTTTAATGGGCCTTACTCACTATAGTCTCTGTGACTCAGTGGAAGAGCGTCCGAGTGCGGAATCCGAAGATCTGAGGTTCGATTCCTCATGGAGACTCAAAATTTTACTTTGTCCCAAGTAATAGTGTGGGACGTGTATTCGATATTTTAACCCTTTGGAACCAAAAATAATAATCGAGTAAAAGCTGTCCCTTTCGCAAAACAGTAATACTTCAAAAATAACCACTTTATGCAACGATTAAAGATCGTTATTATCCATGGAAGTCTCGTCATATTGTCAGTACGATTCATCGACTGGCCTCTCCGACTCGTTGAGTTCGAATATATATATCTTACTAGACGTTTTGTTGTGTAGTATCGCCGAGTATTTTTACGAGTTATGCCGTACTTTGACGAGCCCGTAGGGCGAGTCAAAATACAAAG